TTTCTAGGCTATACGAATTCATTTTCGCAATATCACTTAAATTCTATTGGTCTAATATTCGTTCGCTCGTTCGTTCGTTTGTTCGCTTGTTCGTTCGCTTGTTCGCTTGTTCGCTCGCTTGTTCGTTTGTTCGCTTGTTCGCTCGCTTGTTCGCTCGCTTCACGTGATATAATCTTTATCCAATAAGATATGAGATATTTATAATCCAATAAAATATTATGACGAAAGGTCATTATACAACAATATGATATTATAATTAAAATAAAAAATTATAAACAAAACCAAATAAATTAAATTTAATATTAAATAAACTTAAACTTAAAGTGAAATAATAAAAAAAATTAAGTTAATATTTTAATTATTTATTAATTTTTAAAAGAATTTTATTATTAAAAAGTTTTTTGATTTATTTGAGAACTTAATTAATTAATTTTAAGCTAAAATATATATTTATTTTATAAATAATTATCAAATATTAAATTATTAATTAAATTTTAAAATAAAATAATTATTTGAAATAATTATTTAAAATAATTATTTTGTATATTTATTTATATAATAGTTTAAATAATTATTTATATAATTATTTTTAATAATTATCAACTAATTAATTAATTATTTAATAAAATCTTAATAACAAAATTGTTTAATAAGAATTTAATGATAAAATTTTACTTATAACATTATAAATATTTTAATTAAATAAGTTTTTTTATTTAATTAATTATATTATTTACTTAATATATTACTAAGAATAATATATAAATAATATTTTTAACATATTATATAATAAAAACAAATCAACAAAAATATATTTTTATTTAACTTTTAATTTGATAAATAATATATATATATATAAATCTTTTAAAATATAATTATTTTTTTAATATATACCAAGATTATTATTTAAAATTTCTCATAATTATTTATTGTTGATATTTTTTGTTATAATGAATTATTTATTTATTTATTTAATTTTAATATATAAAAATATAAATAAAAATAAAAATAATAAAAGATACAATAACAATAAAAAAATGAAATACTAAAAACAAATTTATTAATAAAACATAATAAAAATATAAAAAATGTGAATTTTTCTCTTTATATAAAAATTTTCAATTTTATTAATAAATATTTTTATTTTTATATTAAAATAAAAATAATATCACATATTTTAACATTCATTTTTTTATAATTAAAACATATAAAAAATAATTGACTTTATATATCATTAAAATAGCTTCATTAGATTAAATCTAAAAAATCTGAAAAAAATAGTTAAAATATGTGATATTATCTTTATTTTAATGTAAAAATAAAAAATATTTATTAGTAAAATTGAAAACTTTTATATAGAGAAAAACCCGCATTTTACTATGTTTAATTAATAAATTTTGATGTTGCATTATTTTTGATTGCCACTGTATAATTTTGCAATTGTGCTATAAATTCACTGCATGAATTTAATTTCTAAAAATCAATAATCAGGAATAAATATGATAAGTATTTTAATTATTTGCAGTACAAATAATTGAATGCGCCAAGTTTCCAAACGATACAATTCTGTGACATCATGGATTTAATTGGTGCACAGATAAATTTGTGATTGGTTGGAGAACCTTGTTTGATTTTCCTTCTCATTTTATTATTATTGTTGATAAACTGGGCAAGTTCCCGCTCGCGTTGCTCGCGGAATTTGGTGTTCTTTGGTTATCGTCGATCCGCTCGTCATTGTTATCTTCTTGCCGTTGTTGTTTTTTTAGCGTGGCTGTCGCGTCGCAGTTATTATTCCAGGCTTTCTTCGGTGGATTTTCTTGTCTTTTTATTTTGTGTTTCTTTTATACCCTTCTTTATAGTTCTTCTGGTCATTGTTGACCAGTTTTTCGCTCTGGGTGACGGCATTTCGAACGTCGTCGTTGCCCTTTTTATTTTCGCTTTGTTGTGTTTCCTGTGGCTAATGTGCGCCATTTCAGAGATTCTCCGCCCGTCCGTTCACGGTGTAGTTTCTTTGCCCTCGTTCCGGCAATTTCTTTCTTTTGTTTGTTATTCGTTTTCCCGGTGACGTCGGTGTTTTATGGGAGTCGGAACCGTCTCATTCGCCCATTTCAAACTTTGTCGTTTGTGCAAATTTACTTCAAAAGAGCCAAAGATATATATTCAACTTTAGGAATTTCCTCGTTCAGCGCGGTTACAGGACCAGCGTACGAGGACGAGGAGTCATGTCTACCATCATCGTGGTACTAACCAATTGTTGATTTCACGAAGACTGCATTTAGAATTTTAGAGTTTCTATCGATCGCGTTGTTAAATAAAAAAAAAAGACAAAATAAACAATAAAGAAAAGCAAATATAATAAAATAATGGCTCTTTAATTTTAACCGATGGGGTACAATTTCAAAATTGCCCATACAATTACATTCACGCTAAAAGTAGCCATGATTTACTTACTGATAAGCTTCTTTAAATGAACATATCGTTATCGAATCCCTTATCATAGAACGGTCACGGGCCTAAAGAGGGAAATTGAGCATTGTTCTAGATGCAACAGCCAGTACGCTTTATTATAATGATGCAAGATATATGGATATAGGCTAATTGTATCTGAGACGCATCTTTATCCAGTTTTTTCTTGTAGAAAGGTGCATTATGAAAAATGCACATCAAATATTAGCGGGAGTGATCGAATTAAATTTAATTGAATTAAATTATCCCGGCTTAGAAATTTAGAAAAACAAACGTTCGCTCGGATCACTAATCATTACCGAAAACAAACGAGCCAAGTTTTTCTCACACACAAACGAGTTAGATCCTAAGAGGCAAAGGCAAAGAACAATCAGATGTATCGTTAAGAAGAAAAAATTTCGCACACACAAATAAAAATAGAAAAGCTCATCGGCTTCATAAAAAGAAAATCCTGCTTTATTCCTGGACATCGTATCTTGTATCCCGATGCTATTGTGTCATCTCATGTATACGTGTATCTATACGACAACGCCGAGGATATTTGAATTTATGTTTTTAGCCTTTCCTGTTTCAATAATTGATCTCAATCAACATAATGTAAGTGTACAAATACGTACCTTATAAGCGCTGCATGTATATGTGAAAGTTATCTGTAAGCGCCACACTAAAAAAACTTTTTTGTTTGAATGGATCAATAAATCACAATTCTCGAAATGAATCAAGTAGACATGAAACTTTATACGCAGTATTATTTTTATTAGCCTTTTTTCCATTCCCACTCCTTCATTCAACCCTTTCTTCTTTCATCCTAAATTAATATTTGCTGTTACGATAGACAATGAATATGAATCCCGAGTTCGTCCTTTTACAAAAATTCCACAAACAATACACAAAAACTCTGCATACGATATGAAAGATTGTTGTGCGACATTTTTGCAGTGTAACAAGTAGATCATATTTATAAATAAATAAGCTTAATATATTACCCCACACTTTTCGATTACTCATTATGGTTTAGACGGACACTAAAAAAAACGGGTTTCAACAATGAGTGTGTAAACAAGTGTGTAAACAAGTGGAATTTGTCTATGCGCGAATGTGTATGCGTGTTGTTGATGGTTGCGTTTTTTTTGGGGGGGGGGGGAAGAATGAATGAAGATTTGCGGTAGTTTGGAGCAAGGAAGTTGCGATGAAACAATTTGTATTTTTTTTATTGTTGAATGATATCATTATCGACGCGGGTCCGTTGCTATCAAAGAGTTTACTTAAGGTAAGAATTAAATGAATCAAAGTTTAGTAGGATTTTCGATAGGGATAATTATAGGGTTACCAAATTGCTTCCGTCACGGGTTTATAAATTTATTCGATTCATTCACTATCAATGAAATTTCCGTTCCTTAATTTTCATTCATTCGTCATCGCAAAGGTCCGAAATTCGCTTATTCTTCAAACACATGCATGTTTAAACTCGATTATATAATAATCTAATACATGACGCAATACCTCGAATTATTTATAAATACCTACTTACTTCTTTTCTCGTCGACTTATTTGTATACCCAAATTGAAAAAAAACTCATGTATGCAAGATTACCGAGAAATAAAAACGTGCTTGTATACATGTACATCAAAAAACGATGTCTTCTGGTCGAGTCTAATTGGCGGAAAAAGATGCAATGAATCAAAAATACTCTCACACAGAAAATCACTTATATTTTCTTATTTCAAGTCCCAATCGGGTAAGGAGCGTCTATTCTATATGGATGATAGATATATCGGCTAACTCGTTTGGGTTTCGCTCAATTTTTATTAAGTCACGACGTTGGTCGTCGGTCGTCATCGTGTCGTCGGTCGTCATCGTTTCGTCGGTGTCAAATTAATTTTTTTCTAGATAGAACAAATCTGTCTATTTGTTTCCTCTTTAGGAAATATGGTAAACAAAAGATTTCATATAAAGTAATGATGAAACCTTGTTTTATAGATTGTTTCTCGGCTACTTGAAACTTCGTCATTGTTGTTGTTGTTTAAAAAGAAAAGAAGTACACGAAAAAGATGCTCGAAGCTATCGAGAATGCGATCGAAAAATACATTGACACACATCGCGATCACATTCGTGGACACGTCGATAAGAATCTCGAGTCAACAAAAAGTTCAATTATCGAACACTTGCCCGAACATGTACTCAAATTCCTAACCAAACATCTCGAAAAAAAGCGTAATGAAGGAAGTGGCAGTGGCCACTTTGTGGAATCATTCCTCACAACAATGACAACAGTCGTCAAAGACATGTCGCAAGAGTTTAAGGACGAAGTTCGTAAAGCTGCTCGACATCACGTTGATAAAGCCACCGAAGGCACAACCGACTTTGTCACAGATACCGCCATCAGAGAATCCAAGGTCGCCGTGAAAGTAATCTCTCGTAAAGATAAAGAGGAGAAACAACATCATTTTTTCAAGAATTTTGATTTGAGTTTTTTGACCGAAGGAAAAGTCGGAATCGTTAACAAAATTTTGGAGATGATTCGTCCTCCGCTTCATCGTGTCTGCGATGAAATCAACGAAAAAATTAGTCAATCTTTTCCGAAGAGAGTTAAAACTTTAATGATGAAAGAATTTGGTGGGGGTATCTTGTCATCAAATGATAAAGACGGCGATGGTATGAATGATAATTTGCAAAGTGTTTTGGCGGTGTTGGGTGGTGGTAGTCGGGGTGCTGATGGGGAACATCATGGGGATTTATTTGATCGAATTTTGGCACATCTTCCCGAGAAAATCAAAGAATTTCTTATGCCTTTCCTTGCGAAATTTGAAGACGGATTAATGGAGAATTTATCAGGCGAATTACATAATCGTATATTTGGGGAGGATAATTTCAAGAAAGGGGTTAGGGGTTTTGTGGGAGGACACAGTCATGACGGGGACGAATCTGGTGAACACGGACATGGTAAAATTGGTGGTCTCTTTGGGCTTTTCAAAAAGAAAGATGATGATTGATCAGTTTTTTCATTTTCGATAATTATTTAAATGTTTATTTGATCAGATTGAATTTGAATAATCAGCCGAATAGAATAGCAAAATAATTCTGCTGATTTTGAATTATCAGAAAATTTCGAATACTTATATATTTATTTATTTATTTATTTATGAGTGATATGATAAATAAAGTGTATATCCTATGTATTTAAAGACTACGATTGTTCAGTGTGTTCCAATACAATCTTCGGCGTAGTTTGAGTTCCGAAGCTTATCCCGAGTCAACCGTCATATGTTGAACAAGTACATTCATTTTGTCGGCATTGTCTTACGTAATCGGATAATCCACTTTTACTGCGACATTCAAATGTCGCAGTTGGATCGTAATTACCATTTTTGGGAAAAATGATCCGAACGGATCAGCTCGTCAGAAAGTCGGGATTAAGAACTAACTAAAAACACAAATAAATAAAAAAACAACAATGATGTTAACAATAATAGCCCTACTTTTCTTCAACCCATTGGTATTGTTATTGATCTCTCGATTAATTATCCAATTGGTGGTTGTTTTTCGTGGGGCACATATACACCTAACTCACACAGAGGCATTGAAAATAATCCAAAGAGAATATCCCCAGGCCTTCAGGATAACATATGTGGACAAAATTAGATTATATTGTGTGGATTTATTATTAATTAATGCGTGCTGCATAAAAAATCGAAAATAAGAAACACGGAAAAATGCTACTTCATTAAGGTGTGCGGGGAATAAGAAAACGTGTACCGCGTAAACTAATACGTTCGTAAGGAGCAATCCAATCAACGCTAAAGGATTAGTGATTTGCGACGGGTACCATGAGAACAATGGAAGAAAAAAAACCAACAATTATTAAAAGATATAGTGCGCCTAATTTTTTTGACAGTTACAAAAATGCATGTGCACAATATTCCGCAAACTCAAGTTAGAACTAATACACACGAATTCTAACAATCTAGAGCCAAAGAAAGCTTTACTATCGCTATATATACCCTTTTTTTTCCTCGATCTAACCAATTCGAATTACTCTTTCCCACGCTCCCACGTTTCCGTCTGTGTTCTCCATCTCTGTTCTCCCATTTGCATACTATCCGATAATATCGATATCAAAAAAAAAATCGAGAATTCTGATATACAACGACAATGGGAAACTCGACCAATCGATGAAATAGGTTGAAGATCGATGAATTAGGTGCAAAACGGGAAGGGTAAATCGGTGTTTAATACTAAGCTTTAACGTATCAGAAGCATACATGTACGCACACACACATATATTGAGATTGTGTGCATTATATCGTTACATTAAAAAACAAGCTATTAGCTGACATCTTTCGCTTTTAGGAATGACTGCTTATTTAATGCGTGTGGGAGAAAATCAACAAAAATGTTGTTGCTGACGACTACCGCGTATTACTAAATTAATATCGATAACCGTTTTACTTCTTTCTTGTTAATTATTATTTATTTATTTATTTATTATTTCTATCTCGCATATCTCTCGCGCGCAAAGTTAAATTTTCAATTTACCCAACATAGTGATATGATAATAAGCAACACAACCACACACATTCTGCGAGATAGAGGGAGAAAGATACAGAAGATACGGTTGAACTTGAATGCGTGAGAGAAATTTCTCGTTTCTCCACTGCTATTTGTTGTTATTGTTTCGCTACTATCAGCTTATCAGGATTTATCGTCTCGAAAAAGCAATAATGACAGATGCTCAGAGAAAAAATGGACACACCTTTTTTTTCGTTCCTGTCAGGATTCCAATATTCTTTATTGTTTCCCATTGCGGGACATTTTAAGGTTTTAAACTCTACACGACACATAATTTCCATCATTCACATTGATCATTGATTATGGTTACTCGAACAACGCAATCGCTCATTTCATTTTTTTTCGAATTCATTTCATTCTATCGCGATGCGCGCGGATATTATTCAAACATTTTTTTGTTTCGTGAATAGAATTTGGAAAGTTGCAAAGTAAATATAAATGAATTAGGGAGGGGAGGTGACACAACATGTCGTCGTCGGTAATCAACTGTGACAAAGCGTCAAGAGAATAGAGAGAATGGTCATTTTCTTGAATAATTGTGGCGTTATTCCATCGATATCGATATGTTTTTATTTGTTTGTGTTATCGCGGAGGAAAAGGAAAAGTAGAATAAGAAAGCGCGCACAGTCTGTCAATTTACTGGTACATACAGATATAATTAGAAATGCGAGTGTTTTCGCTATTCGAGGATTGCACCAGTTTTTCCTTTTATGGATGGTGATTTCGAAGAAAGGAATTAAAATTCATAATTACCAGTGTTTGTTGTCGATGAATTAAATTCATTGATTTTCACATTAATCGTGATCCTTCTCCCTCATTCTTTGACCAATAAGTAACACGCATCACGCGTCACACATACACACACACACTCTCACTCACACACACACACACACACACTGTAAAAATGAAACCTTTAATTTTCGGAAATTGATCAAACGAACAAATCATTACGATTAACAATAAGGATAATAATAAAATCGGGAGAAACCGGAAGCAAAACAAGTTTGAATCAATACAAGGTAAATCCGAAATTACCCGCTCTATGAATTCACAATCACCATTGTTATCGCTTCAATCTATATACACAACTCATTACTGCGCCAAATCCGCAATGTTCCGAAAAATTTCAAAAACCTAAGAATTATTCATGTCCTATCGCTATTGAAACGTATATAACACCTGGTTGATCCGGACTTCCAAGATTATATCATCAATAACATCCGATAAGGAATTATATACTATTGATGCTAAATTTCATGATGTTTGCCACTGCGCTGATTATCCTTTTTAACCTGTCTTTATTATGCGCATGTATGTGTGTGCGTAGGGCATGTAGGATATATGTATACGTACCTCTGTCTATTAGTATACACTCTATCAACGATATCATTTTATCTTTTTCAGATCTATCAACATTAAATTTTTCACTTCCACTTGTTATTGTCATAAAAATCGAGTTACGATGGAGTATTAACTCGGTTGGTTAGTTAATAAACCACCTATCTATCAATCAATCAGAATAATCGTAATAATCGTTAATCATCGTAATAATTATCCAAAACTTCATCATCGTGAATAAAAATCATAGTAGAAAAAGTGTCTATAATGTATGCACGAACCATTTATACACTTATTAAAAACTTTTTTTTTATTTATCATTATTTTTAAATCATCCTAACCATACAATTTATAGTGTGAGGCAATTGAATTATTAATCTAATGTACATACAATTAACAAATAAAAATAGTATAATAAAGCCTTATTTTTTTCTCACCAATATTTTTATTATTGTTATTATTGTTGTTTAATTTACTTTATTTATATTCCCTTTCCTCATCATCCGTCATATCAGCCATTAGCGTTAGAATATATATACATACATACATATATATATATATATATACATATATATATATATATATAACCAATTCAAAATAACGAATATAAAAAACCATTCTTTCTTCATTCCTTTTAAAAGAACAACCACTCAAATTATTTATCTAACTTAAAAGAGACTGATAATTGAAAAACAATAATTCTATTATTAAAAAAAACTGATTTTTCGTATATATACCAAGAGGCGAGCTTCTAAAAAAATTCCTTGCCATTTGGTTTATTATCTCTCACAAGTTTTTATCTCTCGCTCGGTCATCCCTGTTTTTACATATCTGACCAGCTACCTAAATATCCATTTTATTTTTCAGCTTTCTAAACTCACAAACACCCTCACTCATCTTTTTACGTGTTGTTGGTATCCAAGTGTACCAGCGACAAAATTTAACACACAAACTGCCTTCAGTAATTACCAAGTCAGGTGTGGCTGAGGCCGCCACCATCCCCATCACCACCAAAAAGATAAAACAGCAACAACAACTTACTAACAACGTCGACTCTGTTAATAATAACGGTGACAAAGGGAACAACAGTCTCGCCTCGTCATCGACCACCAAAAAAAATAAACACACACACACTCGACATTGCTCCATGCAGCAGCCTTTTGCCTTGATCCCCGATGATAATATGTCGGGAGTAATTCAACACCCTCCCGAGATTTGTGTCGACTATTTATCGCACGAGTGGAAAAAGGAGGACGATATTTGGACATCATGGAAAATGATGTCGAAACAGAAAAAAGAAATCGTCAACGGAGTAAGGTTGGAGAACGCGTCCTGGAGAACTTGGGCTAAACAAAAGTATCATTTAAAAACCGTGAATCCTGAAAGGCTCAATTGGTATGTGATTTATATATCATAATAATCTGATCTTTGAAGTGTAAATGTTTTCCTAATTCTCATGATCTATTTTTTTTTTATATAAAAATTGTAGGATGAAAGATAGCGATGTGACATGGTTATATGGTCCATTTCACACAGCGTGGACACCGCGCAAACACGAAGAATCTCTGAAATCCAAAGCACCAACAATCCAAGATAAACTTGGCCTGATGCATCACACACCTGGCGCTTGTCAAAAATCCTGCCTAAAGAAAAAATCAATATCCGAAATACTACTAAGCAACACCAGTGACCGATCATATCCAACTCTAGTGCCAAGTCACTCTGACTCGCAACTCTACAAGAAGAAAAAATCTCGAGTTGGAAAAGAAGATTCCAACACACTGCTTTCAACCTCTATATCAGAAACATCCCCTCTGTTCACATTGATGCAACGAAACGGTGAGCAGCATATTCGATTTAATGATCAAGTAGAGCAATGTATCGCTGTTGATTCCGCGGAAGAAGACGATGATAATCTCGAAAAGAATTATTATGATGACGAAAGTGGCGATAATAGTAGTGACGATGGTGCAATATTGATGAAAAATTCACGTAAAAATGGAAAAGAATGCTACACAATACATAAACTGGCTCCGATACCATTGAAATCGGATCAAATGCACATTCATCATACGAACAATTATTGTAATAAGAGTAGGACAAAGAACTCAACGCGAAGTGGATCATCATCATCATCGTCAACAGCAACAACATCATCTTCATCGACAAACCAATCAAAAAATAATTCATCGCCATCGACGAGGTCAATATCGAACACAACAGAATCAGCCGCAGCAGCAACCACCGTCACCACCAACAACACAATATCAAATTCAACATCACCATCATCAAATTTCAGTTTCAATGATTATGTCTCATATGATAATTATTCTTCATCAGCTACATCCTCGCTATTACACCATCATCAATGGGATGACAACGATGAATTAGATGTTGATGGATTATTTGACATGGGAATATTCACGACCGATATGTTTGACCGTTTCGATCCTTCGAGCTCATTATACGGGTCTTCGCCAAATTCAACTTCACCATCAATGTTACCTTCTTCCAAATCGGATTCTTCATCTCGGTCAACGGGAAAAGGAGGCCGTGGTGATAGTAATGAACAAGATGAAGATGGTGATGGATTTGTCGGTAAGGCTGTTCATCTTGCCACCGGTGTTCGCGATATTGTACATTGGTGCTCGAACATGGTATTCAATGGCCAAGTCTTTTGAAGTAACGAGAACAAATATTTAGTAATCACTCTGCGGAGGGGCAAGAGGAAAGAAAATGAGGAAAACAATAAACAAGGGAAATTAGAATATGGTGGCGCGGATTTATTGGATAATAAATACATGTTTATCATCTACAAAATATCACAGACAATACTTCGAAATTGATTTGAAATTATTAATACAAATATTATTATCACACCCTCTTTCCTCTCCCTCTCCTCTCCTCTCCTCTCCGAATACAATTCTTTCCTTAAATCCATACACATGTTACAAAATTGCTTGTATGTTCTAATATTAATTAATACTCATAATAATTATAATAATGAATTGTTCTATAATATATAACACAGAAACAATTTATAAGAGCATCAGTCAATACCTTCTCTTTATTTGCCACCATCATCACCACCACCTTTATATTAAACTTAAATAAACAAGAAAAAATTATAACGCAGTTGCAAAAAATCATAGCAACAAAATAAACTTTTTTATATGTATATATAACTATAACAGATGGTTAGTTATATATATGTAGAATGTGTATATATACACACATTATTATTACCTATATTTAGAATCAAAATTATTACCTACATAAACTTTTTAAATATGTAATTTTCATATTGTATATAAAAATTAAAACGTCAAAAATGCACATATACATACATACATATATGTAGTATAGTCTACCCCTCACCCCCGAAACATATGTGGCCCGAATAACAAAATTTTATTCATTAAACATCCTGAAACAGTCGACGCTATTATGTTGTCGCAAATATATTTTTTTTTTCCTGTGTATGACAAATATGTACCTAAATCACAAATGTATGCAGTCGGTTGATTCGTCAATTTCATTTTTGTTTTTACGATAATTAATAATGTAAGATTATACGCGAACGAGTACTATGTATGCCACATGATATATTCTTAGTGAATGAAGCGACAATAATATTGAAAAATAAGCAAATAAATAAATATTTTTGTTTGATTTAAATAAACATTTAATTCATTGTGTTGGTTCCGATAGCATTGGTCTAATATGTACATGCAAGATGATAAAAAAATATTTGTTTGTTGTGATTGTGATGATGACGAAAGGCACAACTAATAAAATTATAACAAACGAAAAACCAAAAACAACGTGGCAAACAAAAAACAAGGATTTGGCGATAATGATGCTGCCGTTGATGATGATTCTCGTTAATCAGTCATATGTGATTCTCAGGAATCAGAGCAAAGGAGAGAACGACCTCGCATTGATCGCATTGCCAGTATTAACATTTCATTGGCAATTGTCGTTGTGATAGTAAATGTTAACTATGCTCGTATGATTTTTTCTTTTGATCAATGACTCGACAACGAACACATCAGAATCAACACAAAAAAACATTGTATTGTTTTCGATCTCCATATTTTAATCAGACGACAAACGCACGAACAACCAAGCGCTAAATTTGAACACTTTCCTTGTTTTAACCCGTGCTCATCGTCGTTATGATGTTTGGTTTCATCGGGAAAAATGTCACTTTCATTCACATGACATTTTAATTGTCAATCTCGTTACTTGTCATTTTGTGAGTCATAAGATTGGTGGCGTGTTGTGGCTCAACTCGATCAGGAGGATAATGTGAAATACAAGTTGTGCTGATCACTAATCGTTGAAATATCTTCTGGGAAAAATGGTGTTTTATTTTACTAGTAATGGTACATTTTCACTTTCGTTATTACTTTGCGGTTTATTTCATATGAGCATAAAATAATAATATAGTTTCGTGTTACTCAATAGTCGTGGATCCACCTGCACTGATATATATGGGAAAAGATAAATATGAAAGTAAGATTTTTTTTTACTTTCTTGTATTTGTTGCTATTTCTCTATCTAATCGATTTTTTACTTATAAGATGAGGAATTAATCAAACATGGATGGGAGGGAGATGTGTGGTAAGTGTTATAGTCTGTCTCATGGAAACATTTGATTATTCGATTATTTTATGTTTTCTTAATTTTTGAATTTTCAAGGGTACGTTGCTTAATGATATGCGATTATTTTATTTCTGTCCAATGATCTAATGCCAACAAGTAATGAACCGATGAAGAAATGAATCGAAAAGTTATTTCATTGATTAATTCAACAACAACAACACACAAACTCGTACATGTAGTTTCATGTAGACAAATTGTCGAGCGCGCACGCGTATCTACGGTTAAAACCGGATCAAACGTGGGACACCATTCCTCAGAAGCTTTTAAATGATTTGGGACAATTGGTGAAAGCAAATAGTATAGAAGGTAATCTGTTTTTATCTTCGAAATATGAAAGCTTTGAATTTGGATTCCTTTTTGCTTTTATTAATTGATTATATGGATGGATGGGTGGATGAATGACGTGATAGGTGTGAAGAAGAGCAGTGTGGTAGTTGTTTATACGCCGTGGAAAAATTTAATGAAAACTGGTGAGATGGATGTTGGGCAGGTCTCATTTCGCGATCATAGTTTGGTATCGTAATTTTATCATTGCTATCACCGTTTATTATTTCATCAAATTGAAAACTCAATTATATTAAAATCGCGCGTGGATTTTTTCCCCTACATAAGGTGAAAAAAATAACAGTCGAAAAGGATAACCAAATCGTCAGACGTCTCGAAAAAACAAAAAAGGAGTCATTTCCAGATCTGGCACTTGAAAAACTAGAGATGGAAAAAGAACGAAGGAAGATTCTTAAGGAAGCTGCTAACCAAAAAGTAAATATGTCATGCTTCGTTGGTATTCACTCTTAATCATTCATCCATCGTTTAAATATTTTTTATTAATTTAGGAAAAAGAGAAACTTCAATTGGAGAGACAACGACGCGAAGAAGCTGAAAAGAGATCATATGAGCCACTCTTTGTTCCGTCAAATATGCGAAGCAATTCACAGAATACCAATGATGTAAAGGATATAAATGAATGGGAAGAAGATTTTATGTGATTCTTAAGTGAATTGGATCGCGCGCGTGATATTTAATCAAGTTCATGGTTTATGAATTCTTAGATACAACTTATTGGGCTCAACAATAAATTGGTTAATTTGTTCTAAATTTACTATGTTACAAAAAAATACAAATAGCATATAAAACCTATTTTAAGTGACTAATTAAAAAGTTTAGAATCTCATTTTGCATCTATATCTTTTCAATATAGGTTTTTAACATTCTTGGACGGGACGGGACAGTTTCAAAAAGATCTTGGACATTCAAAATGTACGATATTGCATCTTGCAAGGATATTATTACCTTTCTGGACTGTTCCAAAGTTCCATTGTAATATCTTGAATTCATTCATATAACAGATTTAGACTTACCTCCTGCATATCTTGCCTATCATTTGAAAACAAATTATTTTGTCTGCTTATAAATCCTGATTTCTTAGTATTGTTAATCAAGTCAATTGCATTTTGCTTCTTGTAAGCCAGAATAATTAATGAAAAAAGATTATATATAATCAGCATCAAACTCAAAGTACTGCTGCATCACTTGGTAATGGGTCTGGGATAATCTATCCACATTCAGTACTGTATTGCTTTTATGGCACAAATATACTTATATTTTGAATCCATGTCTAACCCATTTTGAATTTTCAGTACTGTATTGTCACACATTTTGGATCACCCTGATACAGAATAGTACTGAATCTTTATATACCAGTCTGGTATCGGATTTCTTTTTGTCAGGATGTATTATCACATAAAAGTGATTATAAATTTATTTACATTCAATTAGTGAATTCTTTCTTATCTAATTATAAAGATTGAGTTAACTCTTGAGAAAATAATTAAATAATGATAAACATGTAAAAATAATGTTATCGTTTAAATGCAGTGAAATGTATAAAATGCAAACGAGTAGGGTGAGTAATTATCTCATCAAAGATTTGTAGAGTTATTGTGTATCCGAAGTTACGCTGCCACTAGGATATAAATTGAAGTACAACGCGTACCATAGTCACACCCAATACTATGAACGTTCTTTATATCTGAAAGCTATCGCTATGCTAACACCAGAGTTGTGGTGAATAAAGCACTTCGTGACCATATTTTTAATAAAATATGAACGTTCTTATTTTATCTTGATAATGATGACGTAAATATTTATTATTTTTTAGAGGACCAAGGAAAAGATGGAATAGGCTAACTATGGAAAGATAATTACGATAAAGAATCAAGCAGATTTTCTTACATGGTTACCCTGGCACAACAATTGGGGGGGGGGGGGGGGGGTCATCAGCCTCACCATTATTTGGTTCATCGAGGTATTTTTGCAACCACTTCTTGATCTCTGGTTGTACAATACGTTACCATTGTTGTCCAAAATGCAACTTGTAGCCGGAAGACTGTCCTGCGGATAAAATCATTGTAGGTTTTTCCGACATGTTCGAGCCTACCTTTAAGGTAAACTGCAAATTTACTGGTTAAAAAATTGTACGGGTAAAGCAACACGCATGAATACCGCCTATCATCGACCTTCATTCGAGCTTTGAAGATGGTACTTGGTTGTTGAATAATAGCTTATCTTAGCCTCGTGACCTTTTAATGAATTAGAAATTTTATTTTCGGTTATTGCCAAAGCATATGAAGGTAAAGTTATTTGATGTATTGTGGAATAGTTTTCTCTAAGTAGCTAGCCAATTTGTCAAAGCAATCTCTTTAAAAGCTAAACGAGACCATTTGACACAAATTCAGAAAATAAAACATATAAATATAAATATAAGTATACATATAAATATAAATATAAACATAAACATATTAATAACGATGATGATTGCTTGTATAAATAATAAATTGGAAGATTATACTATAATAACATACATTCTAGACAATTGTAAATAGTTTATATTCCATATAATGATAAATAATTGTCTGTTGCACCAACCGCCATTACCATATGATGGCCAGCAAGAGCCATCGTAGTAACTTGTGCTCCCCATCCCAAAAAACCAGTGCTATATCGTGTAGATGTCAATGTTATGCCCGACGTATTCCATACTTTTATCGATTGATTATTGTATGCACTGAAATAAATTTTATCAAGCATCAAAAATCCCGAGCAATTCATGACAAACAAACTAGATTTCAACAATGATAATCGTTAATTACCTTGCAAGTACATTTGAATAATGATGAACGTCCATACAGATCATTTCTTTGACGTTATTGCTTGTTGATACTCCATTCGGTATAATTAATTTTGGTCTCTTTTCGCGAAGATCCCATATTTTGATTTCTCCAGATTTACTACCGGAAACTAATTCGTGCATTGCACCACGTTGCCAAACTGTGTTTGTTATGGTATATTTGTCTTCTTTACAGACCATCACCATAGCATCCATTGGCGGGATACGACGGTCATATACTCGTAGAGCTCCATCTGCGAATCCGGCAACGAATAAATCATCACCATCACTTGTAAGACTCGAAATAGAGCTTCCAGTTCGTGTCGGTATTTCCTGATTTATCGGAAGAAAAAGTTTTATCTCTCTTATTTCTCTAATGTAATAATAACAGATAGTAACGGGGATTAAGATTCGGGATGAGTGAAGCTTACACTTAGTTTTATTTCACGTGCAGCATCCCATATTCGTATACTCTTTACATCGCCTCCAACCAGCAAAGTACCTCTCTGCTGCTGCCATTCAGCAACGAGGCCAAATCTTAAAGGATTAGGTATTAAATCAGATAAACCTCTCCATGAGGTTACTAATTCAGTTGATGTTGAATTCTCATAATTACGATAAATACGGATTATGCCATCACCTAAAATAAAATTCTGCGTGTTTATTAAATCAAAGAGTCATCGAAAAAATAGACTAAAAATTACTTGATCCGGTCATTAACATGGAATTTAGATCTTCGTTGATAAGTTTCATCGTTGTTATTCGACTCTGAGCCGGATTTCCATTAATAAAAGAATTAATACGATAATGGTCTTGCCAATTCCATACGCTGTGAAAGAAAGCTCTTCGATTAATGCTTACAACTTGCGTCATCTGAAGTAATTATCATCTACTTACCTGATCATATCTTTATCATTTGCTACAATAAGATGCGGCTCAAATTGGTGAAACAGTAGTTTCGTTGGCTCCGATTCATTATTAAAAAGTGCAATCTGTTTATTCCATCGGCTTGAGCCTTTTCAAATTAAAACAGAGGTAAGAGAGTTTCCCTTCAGTATAGCGTTAAGAATGAATATATATAAAAAACTTTAATACATTAATGTGTACCTGCAACTTCTTTAAGAGCTCGGGTTTCTTTGATAATAGATTCATTTCTCTTCCGACGCCAATTACGCTCATGATCTTGGATACTTCCTTCTTGTTCGGATTCCGGTGGCTAATATACATTAATAAAAAAAAACAAAAGGTGGCTAATATACATTAATACAAAAAAAGACAAACATGGAATTCGATTAAATAAAAAACCTACCCTCATTTGTGGCTCGCGGAAATATTCACAACTCCAATCAAAGAATTTCGATCTAATAGGTACAACAGGCGTTCGATTCTCGGGCGATGCAGAACGATCTAGATACATTCTTGCATACTCACCATCCTGTTTTATTTGTTGTTGATTGACTTGTCGCATGTTACGAACAAGAGATTCAACAATCGATTCACTTCTCAGTTGTTCAATTATACTATCTACTACGACGAAAGCGAGCTGAGATACATCCGGATCAGAGTCTGCACATAAACTCAAGAGAGCTTTCCAAATGCATGTATAAACATTGCTTTGAGGACTTTCTCTTGAAGTTTGGCCGCTAGCTCGATTAAAGGCCTCCTGTGCTTCATCTTTGGCTGCCTTGACAAAGTTTTCTGTGTAGGAATTGACTATATGAGAAAGTGTAATAACTAATTCTTTTCGAACTATCGGAGATCCATCATTATTAGCAGTGAGTGCATTAATTGCGATATTATGCTCAATATTCATTATTTGTTCTGTTCGTTCCAGATTTCCAATAAATGAGCCTAAAGCATATAAAGCAGCAGCTCTAACTTCAGGTACAGGATCAGTTATTAATGGAAAAAGTTTCATGTGAGCTTGATTTTCTATTCCTTCGCTCTTCGCCTCAGCATAATTTTTCCAATATTGTCCAATACAGAGACAAGCCCATTGCCTTAAAAGAGCATCAACGTCTCCAACTCGTGATAAACATGCCAGCAAAACTTTAGCTTTATGCGAGGCTATTTGTCCTTGATTAAAATTTGTGCAGAATATTGCTAAAATAAAGGCACACATAGCTCTATGTTCTGCTTCATTGGGTATATTCAGAATGCTATTTGGTGCCAAAATACTGACGAAATAATTGTACCCATTGTCTTTTAAAAGATCCTGTTGGCATGATCTATCAACGGCTAATATTCGGGCCCATATAAACACCAATGGAGGTTTTAAATCTGCTGCAGGACTTTGTAATAATTTTAAAACGTATGGGAATATGCCAATCGAAAGAGCTAAATTAACAGCCCAAGGTCCTAAATCTAAAAACTTACTAAGCAACCCTAATGCTCGAGATCTATGCACTTGACTTAGAAGTACTTGTAATACAATTGGCAATTGTTCTGGTGGTTTTTGTGTCACAGCACCCTTTACAAGCCAAACTTGAAAAGCTGTTAATTGTTCATCAAAAAAGCTAGAGTGTTTATATTCATATTCATTATCGGGTAAGAGGAGAGCTGGCAATTGTGACAAACACATATCCACAGCAAGATCCCACGAGTCCCACATTGGGTGATCATGCGTGGGAGGTAACTGTGGAGATGACATTGGATTACATTGATATCGTCTCATTATACGTTCAGCTAAAAGAAAATTTCTGAAAAGAGCTGCAACCATCAAATCCTGTCTGAAAAGTTGCTTAAATAGATCTGGCCGTAAAACATTCCACGCAATAGTATCTGTTATAGCAGTAAATATCCAATTTAATTCGCCCAACGGAGTTCGTCTATCTTGTAATCTACCTGGCAATTTCATCACCATATCAACGGTTATGTCCGACGGTAACGGATTTTGCAATACAAACCATCTTAACGCTATTTCAATAGGTGATGTTAAACATGATGTAAACAAATCGGCTGGAAGATCTGGATGCATCGGAAGTGTTTCATGTGAGCCACAAGCTGCAAGCTGAATATTAACAGGAGATTGTGGTAAATTAATTGGATCTTGGGAAGCTCTAGCAGCTTCTATATACCTTTGCTCGGCAAATCTATTGAAATTCACAAGTATATTCCCCGCAGCTGAACAGTCATACACATATATTGAAGGGGACCCAAGCCACTGTTGTATATCACCCATGGAAACCGGAATGTATTGAGTAAAGTGTTTATTGAAGCACCAGATTTCTCCGCTTGCTGTAGGCTTCGGAACACCATGACCATTGTAATGGAACAGCACTCTTTCTTCTTTTGCGTTCTTTCTCAAAGTTGTACAAAACTTTTTAATCTCGTCCACTGACGGATCCAAATATTGTTTATATCTGGTTCTAATGCTAAGTTGCTCGTACTGCTGCTGCAAATTTTTGCCAATCGCATCTAACGCCTTTTGTGACGGTAATGAAAACGGATCAATCCAACACTCTAACTTTGCACAAGGACTTGGTTTCACCACATCAGGCGGGTCGACACCGATGTTTAGACATAAGACCAGTGCACCAGAGACTGTTTTAAGTCTTTCACGCATTCGCCAGTCTTGAACGGAATTCTCCTCCTGACTCTGAGTAGAAGTGGAATTGTGGCGTTTTTCTGTAAAATATGTGTACCTGTTAAAGGGAACATTTTGTCCACTTTCTGGCACCTGAATAGCATCAATTAGCTTACTCATTTGAAATTTCTCTCTCGAATTTTAGTATGTTTCTTATAAATTCTGCAAGTTCGTTTGCATTGCACTAAATTTAACGAGATGTAAACAAATAGTAATACTCCGTGAAGAAAGTTTTGATTTCCGACATTTTTATTATCGCGATCAATGACATAAATAGAAACTCGATGAACCCGACAAATTCAGTAAAGTGTACTGGTACTGTGTTATCTGATGTTCATTAGTGAATCAAGTCAACAAATTCATTTTAGGAAATCCGCTGTAGCTCGTTTCGGTATAAATTTCGACGTGCTTTTGGGCGACAATTCTTTTCTGTATTATTATCCCGTCATCAAAAAATGTCTGACAATGTTGCTCATGCGTTGAGTGGTAGGTATTTCTCTACTGAATTAAGTGAAAGTTCGAGAGAATGAGGATCTTAACGCGTTCCGTTTTGCAATATTTCTATTTAAAACATGTATGTTACTATTTTCCATTCAGGTGCGGGTGGAGGCATTATAGCAATGACCTTGACCTACCCCTTGGTGACAGTAAGTTCTCGTTTGCAAGTACAAAAAAGTTACGAAGGTGCTAACGCATATCAGGTATCACTTCAAATCACAGTGTAAAAAATTCAAAACGTAAATTTCTTATCTCCAATTAATTTTGTTTGATCTTCCGTACATAAATAGGGTAGTGTAGATACTTTCGCAAAAATTCTCAAAAATGAAGGCATACGTGGTTTGTACTCGTAAGGATTAAGGATTTTTTTAAAGTTGTACCCAAAGAAAGACAACTTTTATCTTGACCGAATTGTGCATTAAATGTCGATTGATAATGTAATTTAAATAGTGGAATGACCTCTGCCATATTCGGTATTGCAGCAACAAATGGTATTTTAGTCTTTTCCTTTTCTCTTCTTTATGTGTGCATATTAACTTTTATTTATTATTAATATAGGTGTATATTATTATTTCTATGAGCTAACAAAGGCGTTTTTCGAGAAATCGGTGACAATCAAGCGCGATATAAGTACTGTTGAATCAATGATTGCTGGTGCTTTGGCTGGTTGTGTCACAGTGATATTTACTAATCCTATATGGGTCGTAAATGTAAGTATTATTATTTTTTATTAAGGACTTTTTGAGATAATAGTAGTAGCATTATAGTTTATAAATTATAGACGCGTATGACCACACGTAAACAATCGTTTGATGATTGCGACGAATCAGAAGAAGAATCAACAATTCCTAAAAGACTTGGAACTCTAGCTACCATTTTAAAAATTCTCGAAAAGGATGGATTTAGCGCGTTCTGGGCAGGTGTCATGCCTGCTTTCATCTTGGTTGCTAATCCGATTATTCAATACACCGTGTTTGAACAATTAAAAGCGCGATTACAAAAAACAAAGAAACTAGGAAATCTGGATTTCTTTTTGTTGGGTGCTTTAAGCAAACTCGTAGCGACTGTAATCACATATCCATATATGCAAGTATAATTAGATTCATTTTAACATCTTCTCGGTTTTTATGTTTTTTATTTAATACTTTTATTATCTATGTAATCAGTGTTGTAAAAGCTCGGATGCAACTTAGTCAGTCACATGACTCGAATACGCGGTACGATTCTACGTTAGACGGAATTCGTAAAATATTATATCATGAGGGGATTAAAGGTCTATACAAAGGAGTTAATTCAAAATTGATCCAATCTGTTTTGACTGCTGCATTCTTGTTTATGTATAAAGAGGCTTTGTTCAAGCGTTCTGTTACTTTTCTATCATTGATCGGAGCCAGAGATTCCCTTAAAAAGCAATGAAACACGATGCTTTATATATACATGGAAATGTGATTAGGATTATCCCACAAAAACATGTTCTATTTATCAGAACAAGTGATTCTTTAAATAACATAGATGATATACAGATCGACTAATTTTTTGACAAGCAATTTTTTAATGGCGTAGCAAATTTTTACATGCGATATTGCGTAATGCAAAAGTTTTTATCTAATCACAAATCGGACTTTGTACAAAATTCAAATGTCCCCAATGCGAATAACTATATATATAGAGGCAGTCCACAGGCCACGCATATGAACTCAATGTATGACCCCATACTGTAAACAGCATCTATCTACTAAACACCACAAACCCCATATTCCCACATCATATACACGGGATAAACACAAAAAAAGTCCTCAAAAATTATGGCGACCAGGCAAGAAGCACCCGTTGTTATTTCCTAATAGTCATTTTTCCATTTCCACATTTCTCAAATGCCAATAATACGTTTTTCCGTCCACCTTTTTTTCTCGTTCTTTTGGCCAATTATTACTTTTGGTATTGTGTTTATTTTGTTTTCTGAAATGATAATATAATAAAGATTGGATCGTCTGGTTCTGCTCTTGGATACCGGGTCCACCCCAGCTGTACGGTTAACTGCGGCTCAACAGTTGGGCGAGATTCAAAAACAACATCCTGGAGAGTTGTATAATTTGTTGTCAAGGGTGTCTATTACTTTTTTTTGTCTAATTTGTCTAAAGCATTCTTTGTTAAAATGTAATTGTGGCTCTTTTGATTATGAATTTAGGTAGTTGTCCATTTGAGAAGTAAAAATTGGGAGACCCGTATCGCTGCAGGACAAGCAATTGAAGCAATTGCTAATAATTTACCACAATGGGATCCTCCCGAACGTATGTGATAAAATTCATTATTTCATGGTTTGCACAGGCATATTATAGAATTATTTTTAATGATATACTTAACGATAACAAAATCCAATAGCTGCCAGAACCGAATTTGAGCCCGTAAATTCTAATAAATTTGCACTTGAAAACAAATATTCTTTTGATAATTTTGATATTGCCAATGTGCTGCAAGGTGGAAAATTGCTTTTGGGCTCAGCTGGGAAGGTATTATTGATATCATAATCTGACGGATTACGCAAAATGAGGATTTTATTTATCGTTATTGAATATTTTTAGGAATATGATTTCGATTTAAGTGACTTGGATCCAGCCGAGCGCTTAGCTCTACAACGTAAGAACTTGAGTGAACGATTAGGATTAGGTAGTCAATTCATGGATGGTGAGTATCTAGCAATAATAATGATCATTTCTTTATATCTTTATCATAAGAATAAATTAAATTATGCGAAATCAAATTTACAGTTGACCTTTTTGACGAAACTGATATTGCTGGCAGTAGTGGTGTTAATGGACCACCACTCCCCATACAACAACCACAACTTACAATTTCCGAACCACCTCCACAACCACCACCACCACCAATTATCAAATCGGCTAATACTCAACAAGATGCTGATTTGTCTGGATTGAGTGCAAGAGAGATAAACAAATTAAAGAGGAAAGCGAAAAAGGACGCTAAAGACAAGGGGAAGGATAAGTATGTATTGAATGTTTAATATTTCTGTTGAAACGTTGTACAATTATTGTTTTTTTTCATTTTTTGTCTTAATAAAATATAAAGGGTACGTGTCGTAGCCATTGATCGAAGAAGACCAAGTATCCAAGAAACTAATATACCGATAGCGACACCTGCTGCCGAATCAATTTCACCATCAGGCGTTAAAATCGAAGACGGTTAGTGTCCATACTTTCATTGAGTGAGATGTAATGCATTCCTAATACAATTTTTTGTTAATTTTTAGCGATTAAACCAGAAGGATATTTCAATTTCACGCCACAGCCATGTTCAGATAAAATTGTGGTTGAGGCAAAAAAAAAAAGCGGATTAAATGTTTTGGAGGCACAATCAAATGGATGGCCTTTTGAAGGCGTTTGTGAATTGCTTTGTATGGATTTATTTGAGTAAGTGTGTTGCTGATACCTATAAATCAATTTCTTAACTTATATATTTAGCTCTTATTAAATATTTCGTGTTAGTTCTTGTTGGGAAATTCGCCATGGTGCCGGCATTGGACTAAGAGAAATCCTTAAAGTGCATGGACACGGTGCAGGACGTGTTGGTTTGTTCTTTTTTTAAATATGACGTATTATATATTAAAATTGCTCTAATTTTGTGATATTAATATTATTATAGTTGGGCTAAACAAAAACGAGAATGATGAAAGACACTACAAATGGCTGGAAGATGCAGCCATTCGTTTACTTTGTGTCTTCTCTTTAGATAGATTTGGTGACTTTGTTTCCGATCAAGTAAATACGCATTCTATAGAGATAATTCTTTTAAATGGTTTTATTAAGTACACCAATTATATAACAATTTGTAGGTAGTCGCACCAGTACGCGAGACTTGTTCTCAGACATTAGGCGCCTTACTACGCTACATGTCGCCACAAGGAGTCAAAAACGTCCACGAAATACTTTTACGTCTGATTTATCAATCAGACTTTTCGCAAAATATTTCATCGATTTGGGAAGTTCGACATGCTGGCATGCTAGGTTTGAAATATGCCGTTGCAGTCAGAAAAGATTTAGTGGAGATGATATTGGAAGGGACTGTTGGTGCTGTAGTGCTTGGGTACGATAAAGTCAAAAATAAAAATTTAGCAGATTGCAAACCTTTAAGCTCAGTCTCTTAATTTACTGGTATTATTTATTATAGATTGAAAGACGCAGACGACGACGTGCGTGCTGTAGCCGCCTCAATCTTATTACCTATCGCAGATTCTTTTATAAAACTTTCGTCACATAACATACCTGAAGTAGTTACCGTGCTTTGGGATTGTCTTAAAGATCTAAAAGATGACCTGACAGCATCCACGGCCAATGTTATGGATCTTTTGGGTTTGTATTCTTTGATTTTTTTTCAATACCATTTCCAAATTTAATAATTATATAAACTTTTCATATGTTCTTTTATATGCAGCAAGACTATTTTCTTTCCCAAGTGTTTTGGATTACATGAAAAATGCTGCCGTTTCAGATCCAAGGTAATATACACATTTTAAAAGTAGTCGATTCTCGCAAATACGATATTCTGTCATATTAACCCGTGTTTCATTCCAGTCATTCGCTAAAGACTTTGATTCCTCGGTTGTATCCATTCTTTCGACATACAATTACCTCAGTACGTACAGCCGTTTTGAACACGCTATTGACGTTTCTCGGAATGGAGGGTGTCGACGAATGGGTGGACGACCAAGTCTTTAGACTTGTATTTCAAAATATGATTGTTGAGGAAAAAAAAGTAAAAGTTTATCTCTTATTAATGTCATCCAATGTCTATATTTTATGCTAACTAAATTGATATTTATAATAAATACAGGATGTGCTTGATTTATCTCTACAACTCTGGTCCAAACTAGTGAATCATGCTACACCAAACGACGAAAGCAGTAAGATCACACTCCACACTGCACCTCATATTCGCAATTGGTTTTCGATTATTATGACTCCTCTAGGCACTCCACTTCCGCAACGTCTGTTTTTCATTCCGGATGGGTCTACCGTATCACCGACAACTCCAACAGCAGCCTCCGTATCCACTCAAGCCGGACGTCGATCGCGTGGTCCTAAACGAATTGAAGAAAGTAATGGAAATTCCTCGTCGATTGGCCATAATGTTGACACGGGAATGTTGCAACAAGATTTTGCACTTGTTAGTGTGGAATCTGTTGTGAGGGGTAGAGTGACTGCTTCTAAAGGGCTGGGTCTACTGATTAGTAAATGGCCACAAGAAGTAAATATCTTCTAATTTTTTTTATAACTTTCTGATTTGATTTGCACCCTTGACACTTACAATTCTACGAATTCATTGTAGTATTTGGAAGCAACCTTCAAGGATATTATTTTATCGTTTCTTTCATCGGTTTTAGCCTCGAATAGGCAATTATCATCCGTAATTATCGAAGAGTGGGCTCGAGCCGCTTTCGGAAATATCGCATCCGAGCACGATGTTTCAATTGCTGCTTCTCCACTTTCATCCTGTCTTACGTCAACTTTGATTTCAATTTTGGAATCAGAACCTCCCGTTTTCTATGCTGAACTTTTGCCTATTATTCGTCGAATTCGCGGTGAATGCCAAGCATTATTAAATAGCTTTGTTTCAGAAGCGAACATCTCCTTAGATTTGATACCAGCTTTGCCGACTAATGTTCTCGGTGAACCAGGAAATGCCGACAATTCATGCTTTTGCGTAGAAACAGCTGGACACATTGCTTCAGATATATTTGACCAATTATCTGCGAATATTCACAAGAGTCGCAAATCCATTATCGAGACATTGGATGATCGTAAATGTCGTGTGTTATCATCAATTGGATTTTACGAGTCCTCCAAACAGAAACTAGACACCAATGTATATGCTGCAATATCGGGAGCAGTTGTTGCATTACGCGTGTTGCCGCCAAAACTTAATCCTGTTATTCGATCGATAATGAACTCTATCAAAACTGAAGAGAATAGTGAACTTCAAGAACGTTCGGCTGCAACATTAGCAAGCCTTGTTGCTCTTTGTTCATCCGACAAAAATTCTGGAAGGGTCAATCCTAATGACAAGATAGCGAAAAATTTGTGTGCGTTTCTTTGTCAGGATCAGTCGACTACGCCTGTGTTGCAAAACAATCGTAGTAAAGAGGGAATATTATCATTGCAGAAGGCTAAAGAAAATAACCTGGATACTAATAAAGAAGAAGATTCGAAGACTCAAAAATTGGTCAGACGTGGCGCTGAAACTGCATTACGACAATTTGCTACTCAGTTTGGACCGGATCTTTTTCAAGTTGTGCCAAAACTGTGGAATTGTATTCATTCTAGCTTATACTCCGTTTTTGTTAAAGGTAATGTGTGTCATATAAAATTACATATCATCAGATTTGATAAAACTGATATTACTAAAAACATTAGGTAATGGAGAAGAAAAGAGTGAAGAAGAGATAAACTCGAGATTAAATTCAAATGAATCTGGACAAGATGTTATTGATTCTCTTCAAGTTTTACAAATATTAACGCCAGTAGTTCACGAATCTTTGTACTCAAAAGTAAGAACTTATTCCGACCTAATTATGTTGTTTATTTCTTACATTACGTGATTATTTTTCGACTAATTAATTTTCTGCTAATTAATTAATAACCAATCAAATAGATAACAGAATTATTGCCGCAAATTGTTAAAGCTGTCCAATGCAAATATTCTGTTATTCGATATGTAGCAGCTCGGTGCTTTGCTACCATAGCCAACGTAATCACTATCCCAAGCATGCAAATAGTTATCGACCAAGTAATACCATTGCTGGGTGACTCTCAAAGTGTAATTCATCGACAAGGAGCTGCTGAACTTATATACCGTAAGTTAGTTGGATTATTTTTCAATTCTTCGATGCATCTACTAAATGATATATTTTAACTTGTATAGATGTTGTGCAAACGATGGACGCCAAAATATTGCCATATGTTATATTCATGATAGTTCCAGTGCTAGGACGTATGAGCGATGCGGATGAAAGCGTAAGATTGGTCACTACCAATTGCTTTGCCATGTTGATCAAATTGGTTCCTTTAGAGGTATGCACCATTTTTTCCTGTTATTATCATGATAATATTCATTTCATGCTCACGATATATTATGAAATTAGGCAGGAATTCCTAATCCTCCTGGTCTCTCGCCCAAATTATTACAACATCGAGAAGATGAACGTCGATTCCTTGCACAGCTTTTAGATAGCCGCAAACTGGATCCATATGAAATTCCGGTGGCTATAAATGCTGAACTAAGGAAATATCAACAAGAGGGAATCAATTGGTTGGCATTCTTGAGCAAATACCAATTACATGGCATATTATGTGATGGTAATATATACCGTGTTTTTATATCATTATTGATTAAATTGTAGTTTTGTTGGATCTTTCTGATCCTCTAAATTTCATCGTTTAGACATGGGTCTGGGTAAGACTTTGCAGTCTATTTGTATTTTGTCCGGTGATCATTATACACGAGCGATGAAATATAAAAAGGCCAAAAGTCCAGATTGTGCACATGCTCCTTCGTTGGTTGTTTGCCCTCCTACACTTACTGGACATTGGTATCATGAAATATTGCACTATACCGATTCATTGAAACCATTGTCGTATATTGGAGGACCAAAGGAACGAGAAAAGTATTTGACTTTACTATATGTTATTATTTTTTACGAATTGGACTTTTTACGATTACTCTATATTTAGACTTCGTCCGAAAATTCTTGAGCACGACGTGATTATAATGTCATATGATATCGTTCGTAATGACATCGAAGAACTTTCCAACATAAATTGGAACTATTGCATTCTTGACGAAGGTCATGTTATCAAAAACGGGCGAACGAAAATAACAAAGGCAGTAAAGTCGGTTAAGGCAAACCACCGCTTAATCTTATCGGGTACTCCAATTCAGGTTTGTATTATTGTTTATGTATTTGTGTATTATGCATTATGTATAATGCTAAGAATTAATTGTTTAATTTGCAGAATAATGTACTCGAACTTTGGTCCCTGTTCGATTTCTTAATGCCTGGATTTTTAGGAACTGAAAAACAATTTAATGAACGATTTGGGAAACCAATTCTGTCCAGTCGGGATAGTAAGAGTTCGTCCAAAGAACAAGAAGCTGGTAAATATTTTGTTCATATTATACTTTACTTTACATTATTAACCCAGACATTACGTTGGAATAAAGGTGCTTTGGCCCTCGAAGCACTACACAAACAAGTGCTTCCGTTTTTATTACGAAGATTAAAAGAAGATGTATTAAATGATTTACCACCAAAAATCATACAAGATTATTATTGCGAACTAAGTGACCTGCAGGTAAAATTAAATTGAATTTTGTATTTTAAGTTCGTTTATTAGAATTAAATATACAATTTTATATAGAAACAATTGTACGAGCAATTCGCTAAATCACAGGCTAAAAATAACGTCGAAGCAGAACTTGAATCTGAATCTGAAGTTGTGGAAGAAAAAGAACCCAAGAAAACAACACACATTTTCCAAGCATTACAGTATCTACGGAAATTATGTAATCATCCACTACTAGTCGTGAATGATAAACATCCTCAATATAATTCAGTTATGGAACGACTGAAGAAAAAACAGTCATCCCTGCACGATCTTCAGAATGCTCCAAAGCTTTTAGCGTTAAAGTAACCGTCTATCTCCTTATCATTTATTTCATTATTTAAGCAAATAATAGTTAACACGATCCTATTTTCATAGACAACTTTTGCTTGATTGTGGTATTGGAATATCACCAGAAACAGAAAACAATCCTGTTGTCGAAGGTGCTGTTAGCCAACATCGTGCTCTTATATTCTGTCAGCTAAAGACCATGCTTGACATCATTGAAACCGATCTGTTCAGACCATTCATGCCTAGCGTTAGTTATATGCGTCTCGATGGCTCTGTTGATGCAAATAAGCGTCACGGTATCGTCCAAAAGTTTAATCAAGACCCGTCTTATGATGTCTTATTGTTAACTACACACGTTGGAGGGCTTGGTCTTAATTTAACTGGGGCAGATACTGTTATTTTTGTGGAGCATGATTGGAATCCAATGAAAGATTTACAGGCCATGGACAGAGCACATCGTATTGGACAGAAAAAAGTGGTTAATGTTTATAGATTGATAACGCGTGGCACTTTGGAAGAAAAGATCATGGGGTAAGTATATTAGTAGTGATATTATATACAATTTTATCTTTATATTACTATAGCTTTTATGTTTAATCTGCGTTCATCTTCAATTAATTATTCTATAGTCTTCAAAAATTTAAACTTAACATTGCCAACTCTATCGTCAATCAACAAAATTCCGGTCTTCAGAGTATGGACACTGATCAGATTCTTGATTTATTCAATGTAACATCTCACGATACCAAATCCGGCACAAGTGTCGAAAAAGCTAGTAACGCTACCACGAGTTCTGCTAGTTCTACTGGTGGTGGTGCATACAGTGTCATGGGTGGTGGGTCAAAAGGAAAAAAGGTTTCCACTAAAAATGTGCTCGAAAATTTGGAGAACTTATGGGAGGATACACAGTACGAGGATCTTAATTTAGATAACTTTATAGAGTCTTTGAATACGGGAGGAGGCTCTAAGAGTTGAAACAGGTTTATTAATTAGTTGGTTAATAGTTAAATATTTAAGACAGCAAGCATAATAATATAGCTTGCAAATTTTGGCAATATTCATTACTTTATAATATACACACTGCAAATAGTGTTTCATTCCCTTTATTTATTATACACGATTCGGAAAATTAAATGCACACTCCTTTATGTCAACAATAAATTATACTGAGTTGCCAAAGATTTTTACATGAATATATTAACAAAAGATGAGTTTCACCATAATTTCATGAAAAGATTTGCTATATACACTAATTTGAGAGTATCATTTGTCGAGCAGTGTTGCGCCTGATTTAGGAATTTAGAAAGATGCTCCAAGATTCATCAATGTGACCTGCATTTTTTGTTACTTGAAATCATTAGTGTTGCTAACAAAAATATTTTTAAAAAATTTGATTATTATTTCTTTAATAATGCAGTTATATAAAAATAAAATCATTTAAATCATAAATTCAGTTCATTTAATATTTTAATAATTTTATTTAGGATTATATTTTCAAAAATATTTATTTATAATAATACTATTCAATTCAATTCAATTTGATTTGATTTGAATTTAATAAGTTCAATTTGAGTTTAAATTTGAATTTAATTAAAGTTTTGATTTGAATCCAATTAAAATATTGATATATTTTCATTGTTAATTATAAATATTTTCTATTATATTAATTATTTGATTTTCTTTAAATCCAATTATTAAAGATTTTAATTGCCATTTTTAAACATTTTAAAATATCAAAAATTACACAAATTCAATTTGCTAAATATTTTGTAATTTATATATCAAATTTGCTAACAATTTGAGTATTTAGATTATTATTGTTATTATTATTATTATTATTATTATTATTATTATTATTATTATTATTATTATTATTATTATTAAGGTAACGTTAAAGTTTGTAAAATTAACTTTACGTTATCATTACACAAAAGTTCGTTGTGATCAGTGTAATGAGAGAACCAAAGTCTAATTTTATTTTTTTGATTTCGCTTTCTTGTTCTGGATACAGTTTTTGATTTAGTATACACTTTACGCTTCGACATATTTTGGTTATTCTTGACTGAATACACAAACGTTGGATCATGTAAATGTATAGTCTCTTTTTTTTAAAGGTTTCTATCAGAACTTGCGCCACCACAACCAACAACAACCCGTCCATTCTCATCTGCCACAATCTGATTCTTGCCTTGACTTTGTAATTCGGCAAGGAATTCCGGTAGCGGCGGAACGATTAATCCCAAAGCGACCATTTTTTTGATTCCATTGAATACATTTGTGCCTTCGATTCGAATTTTCGCTGTTATTGGATTATTGTTGCTAGTTTCGTCGTTACTTTGGGAATGACTTTGACGAAAGGGAATTTTGAGCTTTTAAGGAAAGGAGATCAATGGAATCAACGAAAATCGGTTAATGATTTAAAAATGAGTTATCGGATTCCTTTATTTGTACCTGAATTTCATAATAATCAAGTGCTGGCTGATCCTGTGAGCCAAAAGTATCTTTGGCAACAGTATCCCTTTTTTTGGATACTACATCATCTGATACAATCCTATTATTTGCCTCTTTACGCGAATCTAAGAAAAGAGCGAAAACAGAATAGAAAATAAATTGGTATAAATTATTTTACATTTAGATTTGCGCAGCTTTGAATTTGAGTTACCAATCACACTTGATCTCTTGGATGGATGTACCAGAGGGTTGTCCCCTATTCGATTTTGTCGAAAACGATTGTATGACCCTTGGGATCCTTGATACAATAATAGTTCTTGTAAGGAAGCGATATCTTTTCCCTTCAAGTCCAGTTCTTCGACTTCTTTACAATTAAAAGTTTTTGTAATTCCCTAAAAAATCAGATTACAATTAATTAAGAGTCAATAGACCGAGTAAATTGCAAAGATGTAATAAGATATGACATACCCATATTATATATTCTTTATGATCTTTTTTCATAGAGCTACACAACAAATGATCGGAATTCGTAAAATATACTAGGTAAATAATGTTATTGGACGGAGGAAGGGTATTGATTGCTATTCCGTCATAAAGACTGATGCGAGCCCATAGACATTTGTCGTATAGCTCGGCGTATACATGCTACATGAAAAATATCAAAAAAAATCATTCATCCACTCTTCATAATAACGTTCACTAAGAGGTATAAAGAAATAAAAACAAACATTGTTGAAAAATGAAGAGATTTGTTTAGAAAGTGCCGATTGAAATTTATCCGCGCGATTATATATTTTTTTCTCGACACCTGTATGTTTGAAGTCTGGATTACACGCGTAATCATTAATAGCAGAAAAAATCAAGTTTAAGCATTGAATGATATTTGATTTTGGTTTACCATGCTCGAAACACAATTTAAATGCTGTCCATTTTTGTTGATTCGCGTGAGATTCGTCACGGTAATCTAATTAAAAAAAAAGAAAATTGGAAAATCACGCACTAAATTGCATATAATTCATGAAAACGCGTACATTTCATATCCAATTGCGCGACTTGTAATAAAGTCAATCCATTGTTCTAATTTAATAAATATTTAAGATTTCTTCAAAGAAAGTAAAAAGACAAGTAAAACAAACGTTTACCCAATCTTCTTTAACAACTCTTTCAATAACTTGATTCTTGGAGCCGTCACTTTTCAACTCATCATAAACTTCCGAGATATTTTTACGTTTGGTTTTCTCGTCAAGATCTTGTTCAGGCCCTGAATCGAAAGGGTTGTCATATTCATCGTCTTGTTCAAGTATAGGCCAGGTCTTTGGGTCCTTAATCCATGTCTTTATAACTTCTACTAGAGATTCTTTACTGTGGCGGTTAAGAACACAACGTAAAGAGGGATCGTGGGGTAGGAGTAGAGAGTCTTGTAAATTCATGATAAATTACTGATAAACATTTTATCGTTATCTAAAATATCGGTCTTTTGGATAATTGCTTTTTTATTTATTTTATTGAAAAATATTATTTTAAAAATCAAAGTCTATTTATGCCAAAATTTTTGAAAAGTAATAATAAAAAAATCTGTGCTGCATGCATCCTTAGCCTTGGTCCTTTCATATAAATAAAAAAAGGACTACGATCCTCCATGATACATTCAAGTTCACCGACATTCGTGTCATCAAGTAATTGTTGATTGCAGGGAAACTCTGGTTCATTGAAATGACGATAAGGTTCCGCGGGAACAATCCACTGACTACATGTAATAAAAACGTGTCTCGCCGTATAATTGATACGCCAGAAATTGGACATACTAAACTAACCACCAACAAGTATTAATTAAATGGAATAGCTGAGGCGTTGTTTTCGATTAGATATCAGTGAAGCCATCATTCTGCTCATTTAAAGTTCTAATTTGTCAAAGGCATATCTAAGTCGCAACGCGTGCATTGCATCCTATCGATTTCTCGATATATGATTGTACTACGTTGTTCAGGATGTGTTTATTCTAGAGAAAATTATTATTAATTTACTTATTAAGGGTTTGAAGAATTGGTGATAAAAAGTGAAGGTGACCTCATCCATTCTTCAGATTCTATGTGTTATTCACCAGTTTCTCGAGATTCTTTGGACCATAACGTGGTTTCATTAACGCTAATCAGCAGCCAAATATTCTTTCACAACATTTTAATGGCACATACTATATGAGATTCATGCCTAATCATTTAATAACAATAATATTGAGAACAGTAAATAATTGGTAAAATGATTTATAATGAAATCCGAAAGATTTTCTTACGCATCCAATAAATACAAATTTGCACTTTTCACACACGCACGATTTCTCAAAATTAGGACTGGTCAGTGACATGTTCTCATGTTATCAGAGGATTTGCTCGATTTCAATTTTCTCCGTCAACTTTTTGATTAAAGTAGAAAATATTCACAATAGAATAAAAACAACCTTCACGTATAAGTATCTTGAAATTCATTCTTGACAGAACAGTTGCAGTTGATTACAACACGAACCGTATTTATTCTCGAGGCATATCCCAAAGTCGAAATGGTCCTTAATTCCAAATAATGTCCTTGTTGTTCCTATATATATATATATTTTATTAATACATCCCATATATAGATTTTAATCATCTTCAGAATGAACATGCTTACATCCAATCATTTACTAATTTCAAAGGAAAAGTAATCCCAACGCGTTTGTTCTCTTAGATAAATTCTGCGTAGCCTAATTAAACACAACAAATCAATCAACATGCCAACAATTAATTAAAAATATTACATACAACACCCACTCCTCTTCCTATATATACCTCTTGCAACCTAACCATATCTTAATAGGATGCAAAGCCGTGATTGAAAAATCGAAAGGATATAACAAATTTTAGTTAATACGAATAAGGTTAATGCCATTAATGGCTTACGCGCATTTCGTTCGGTAGACTCACACAAAGAAAGAACTATTTATAGTTAATACATAAAACAAGTTTACGCTTTATATAATTTTTTAAAAATGTCACGGGTGATAATTGAAATGTCACATCTATCGCTGTGTTGTAGAAATTAATTTAATTCCTACATGTATAATCACATTGTCGTGTAACGTGGGCAATTTCCGTTATTAAATATTAAACAGAAATGCACTGTGCTTTACTTGCTATGGTGTGTATTTTATAAAATGGATAAACTTCTTTACTAAGAAGTAAATACAAAATTTAATCCGTGTGTATGATAGAATAAATAGGCGTTTTCTGAGCATATTCACGGATTAACTTTTGTATTTACTTCTTAGTAAAGAAGTTTATACATTTTATAAAATACAAACGTTTGATGACTTTAGATTTTATGCACCATATGAAATTAATTCTAAAACGGAAGATTAAATGTATCTGGAGCAATAGGACATATTCAATGAAGAACGTTTCTTCACGAAAATGACCTCGATATTGATTCTGATAATGTGTGGTGTAAGTGGCCCACCCGATAATCAAATAAACAATGATGATTTATAGCAATAGTGATAATAACTTTATTATATCGTTATGCCAAAAAGATCGCTCAAGTCTAATCAATTATGAGATTACGATTAAAGTCGAATAGCTAATTTGAAATGTTCGCGATTATATAACAAAAATCTATTTTAGGTTAATTTTGGTCAGAATTTAAATCAGCGCAGTTAAATTTTTTCACCTTCTGTCAATTTCAATGAATCAACGTTTATATCTCTATTGTCTTTGAAGATTCGTGTCACGCAAAACAATCCAACCTTAATTTTGGCTAAACCTCAAGTTAATCAGCCTAGCTTTAAAAAGGTCTGTCAGATGGTCATTTGATATCTCATCACTTGGGAGATATATATATGTATTTTCTTGTTCACCAGTAATAAATTAATACAATGGATCGCATACAATTGGATTTCAAGACAATTGCTTTGGTGATAACGATAATAAAAAAGCATCACTTGAAACCAACATAGCAAGTTCTTTGTGAAATTTCGATCTTCTGATCAGAAAGTTGCATGCAGATCAATGAAATTCCCACAACTAGAGTTCGAATATCACGTGTTCCCTGTCTATGTGTCTTTCGCTTTTGGACTTTTTTTACGTGATTCTTCCGTGTTGTCATTACGCTTTTTAAGCCTCAGGTTTGCCTGTTGAACGCAATTCTTTGGAATAGAAGTTCAATAAAAGTAGAAAGCTTTTGTGCAAGAATATATTTCTTTTGAAAAATGAGTGACGTTCGTTCTGTGTCGCTTCAATCCTCAGGTTAGCATTGACCAATGCAAGTATGTATTTTTAGCAAAATCATCTTTTAATTGGATTTTGTTTGCACGTTTACTTAGTTGGAACTACTACTGCGGAAGAATTGGCCAATAAATATCAAAAACTGTTTGATGAATACTCAAAGTATGCTTTGTTAAGAAATTATGAACAATGTGACCTGTTTTTTTATACTCTCATATTAAAATACACGTAGGATAAAGGCGCAGCAAACAGTTCTTAAAAAGGCGGTTATCAAGGTAAAAAAGTAAAGAAAATGCACAAAAGAATAGTTTTAATTCGAAAATATTAATCTATTAATTATTCAACAGGAACAAGCCGCTAATGTTTCATTACATGAGGAAGTGAAAACAAAAGAACATGAATTACGGACGGTATTTATATGTTAATAATTTTATAGTTAAAATTGTGATTAATTATTTCGAATTGGTCAATTTTGATTTTGATTTTTCTCGGAACTTTTATTTTCACAGTCATTACAGCAACTTGATCTCTTAACGTTTCACAACCAACGCCTCACAAAACGTATTGAAAGTCTTCAGGAGTCAGGAAACACTGTAAGTTATTGATGTTTGTAAACTCTAAACTATTATCCTTATCCTTATCCTTTAATTAATTAATAAATACACCACACTTTGTAGCGTTTAGCTCCTGGATGGTTATTAGGTTCAGCTAAGAAAGAGCTCGAAAGATCTAAATCTACGCTTGAAGCTTTAAGTACCGATTTAGGAAGAAAAATTGCCGAGAATGGTATAATTCTCAATATTCAAAAAAGTTTGAATTCCGAACGAATTGAAATTAATTGTGCATATGTTATCACTTGCAGAGAGATTACATGCAGATCTGAATGAAGTTAATGGTCTATATGCACATCATAAACAATTGCTGCAAGAAAAATTATCAGACCTGGAGAAGAGAAATGAAGAGCTGCAGGTGAATTCTATAAAATAAAGATATTTATCATTATTTTGACATTTATACGTTTTATTCTTGGACGTTCAGGTAGAATTAAAGAGATCACACCTCGCAGGTGAAGAGGCGGTAACTATGGCTCATAAAGAGAAACAACATGTTGAATCAGAATTAGAGAAAACGCGAGCTGAACTTAAAACGTAGGTCCGATTATGATTTTGAGTTATTGGCTCTACGGAATTCTTTGCCTGATTTTTAATTAATGTTGTTATAGAACAAAATCCTTTTTGGAAGAAAATGAGTGTAAAATGAAAGATGAAGAGGATTCATTAAGAGCTGAAGTATCTGCTTTACAAGACACACTATCAATTACTCTTGGATTATCCGAAGATTCGGACAAATTTAACGTAACAACTCAGACTAGATTTTGTTTTTAATTAATAACACCATTTGAATCTTTAACAATTTTATTATCGTTATTCTTTTATTTAGACACTATATAACAAAGTCGATTCAGAAGCCGATGAAATCATTGCGAGCTTTAGACAATTGCAATCTAGTGCACGGGAATATTTGATGGCACTCAAGGAAAATGTATATATGACTTGCATAAAAAACAAACTACCTTCGAAAATATATAGTCTAAGCTTATATTTGGTTTTTCTTATCATAGTCACGTTCACATTCTCTTGGGTTACAAATGAAAAATGCCAGTCAAGCATGGCACCAAAATCTCCAAATATTGGCGGTTAAATTGGCTTCTTCTCAAAGTAAGTTCACAAATGGTTTAGACATTTTTTGTTCTTGCTACTTTAACGATTCGTTTATTCATCGCTTACTTTGCAAAAAAAAAAAAAAGGTCGAATATCCGAGCTCGCATTGGAAAAAGAGAAATTAGCAAAAGAAAATGAAAATAACGCGCGAAAAATAGCAATGTTAGAAACAGAAATTGTTCGATTAAAAGAAGAATTGGCGAAACAACACGTGAGTTATCTATCCCGAAGATTTTGGGGTTTCTAGTTTGTATGGTAATAAGATGTTTGCTTTTCGACATGCATGGAACAAGTTGATGGATCCTAAATTTTATTGAGCACCTTTATCAAATCCTGTTTATTATTATTATTATTATTCTTGTATCGATAAAATTTAAGGAAATTTACTGAGTTTGTTTTTTATTCTTTCAATTTCTGCTCCATCTTAAAGTCGAATGACACCACCAAAAAAGAAACGGAGAGTGCCAAAATCGAAACCAATGGAACATCAGCAACCGAAGAAAATCATTTACTCGAGGAAAACTTTACACTTTTGGAAAAGGAAAATATCATTGAGAATGAAATATCAAAAGAAACCCAAAGAGACGTGAAAAATACTCTGCCTGTTAATGATGCTAATGACGCTAATGGCATTAATCATGAAGAGACCTTGACAAAAGATGAAAAGGACATTTCCCAAGAGGAAACACAAGATCAGATTGCATCGAATCATGATTCTGATATCAATACAGATGGAAATGAAGATGATGTTGATCTAGCTGCAGAGATTGCTGCTGCACACTTGTTAAGTGCTGCTGAATTGGGTACAGTGGATGATAACGCTCCTGAAAACAATGCTGTTACTAATGCAGAAGGTGATGAAGAGGACGATGATGACGACGAGGTTAGTGGTGATTCTTTTGTTATTTCCATACGGATTTTATATAATTAACAAGTAAATGTTATTTCACAGTCTGTATTTGTTTATGAGCCAACTGACGAGACACAAATATCTCAAGATCATCAAACATCTTTGCTTGAAACGACTCGAGAAATAAAAACTTTACAATCTATGCAGCCTCTAAATATACGATTATTTAATTCTGAAAGAGACCAAGACCAATCTATTGTTATGCTGGAGCATGATACTGAGGTAAGCATATATAAGTTGACCAATTTGTCACTATTGAAACAAAAACATTTAGTAAATTATCTTGATTTTTATAAGCGTATGGCTATCTCAGGTGATGCCACGCGTGAATTGTTAATAAAGAAACACTACGAAACCAAAATTCAACAATTGACAGAACAGGTTAGTCGACTAATTTTTATTTTCGCTTGATTATTCATAATTTTTTCGCATTCTAAATTTACTCCTTTTTTCAGTTGCAACTTGCCGATAGTAAATCGGTTAGGTTTCATAAAGCTTTGAAAGTGATGCAAGCTAAATTGAGCGAAGCAGAGATCGAAAAAGAAAACTTCCGAAAAGATATCTTGAAGCTTCAAGATGAAAAAACGCAAGCGAAGGTATATAACTTGATTTCATGATAGAATTATTGTTGCTGATCTTTCCGATCATTAACTTGACTAATTACTTGAATAAATCCTTAGATTGAATTCGACGAAACAAAACAAAACCACCAAAAGCAGGTAGATCTAATGACAGATTTTATCAATCAACTGCAAGAACAACATGAAAACCCAACGGGAAGTCTATCGCGACCCGGAATAACTAATTAGAAATAGAAATGAATTTATTATGTATTATTATCTATGGGAAACGCGCAAGCAGTCTTGTTAAAAAAGGGATTTTTTGAAGGGATGTTTTTGTGAATTTATTTTGTATATTAACGAAACACTGTATTTACCCGGTTTTACATAGATAGAGATGTACAACAAAAATACGATTATATAATATTAGTATAAAAAGAATGTAACTATTGAAGATACTATATAGGATTAAGGTTGCAAACATCATATAAAAACCTAATCGATAAATAAACGAATAATAGATAAAAGAGAGTATTTTATTAATAAAACTAATATTCACAAATGTAACCTTCATTTAGGAACGAACGCAATTTTCTCTTCAGGATAGGTAGCACCTATTTGTTTAACGTTGATATTAGCAAGCCAATGCCCAGCGGCGACCGATTCCTCTATGGATTTGCCTTGAACGTACTGACTCAGGAATCCACCAACAAAAGCATCACCAGCTCCATTTGTATCGACGATTTCGTCATCCGCGATGGCGATAACTGGATATTCCTTTATAGTACCATCAGGGTATGCTACTATTGTAGGATCTGCGCCTTGTGTAATCACCACGACTCGTTGACGTTTCGTGTTGATTTTTGGTAGTTGAGCTATAGCGAGTGCAATCTGTTTGATCTCCTCATGCTTTAAAATTGTTAGTATAAAAAATAGCGACCAATTGTTAGCTTATATATACATTTAGAATAAAATAAAATTACTTGACAATAAAATTTCATCATTTCTTACCTCCCACGCATGTGCTTTCGCAAAAGCCTCGGCTTCATTTTCATTACCAAATATGAGATCCCAGTACGGAGACAACGCATCCAAATCCTTTGTGAAAAATTGAGCCAAGAAAGGAGCTGAGAGATTCATGCTAAACACCTATATTTTTAAAAGCCAATCAGAAATTTAAAGAAATATGGAGAAACCAAAATAAATATTATATCTATTTACTTTATTTTTCTCGGAAGCATGTTTAGCAACTTCGAGAGCCGAAGGTACGGAAACGGTCAAAAAGAAACCACTAATATAAAAGTATTCAGCATTTTCTACGTGTTTCCATTTCTCTGGGGATTTTAAATCACTCAATTGATATTTTTCGGCAGCGGAAAGATTAGCTACCAATGACCTATTTGATAAAAGTCAATTATTCACATATAATGCATGATAGCAGAATTTCAAAAAAACCCACGCTATTTCATGTTTAATTCCCTATACCTCTTATGATCGGTGAGGAGCGCAGCACAAGTTCCCGTAGCAACATCATCCACGACCATATATTCAACACATAATCCATCTTTTTCGGCTGCCATTCGTAATTGCTTGCCAAGGTGATCGTTGCCGACACATCCAACGTATATAGTAGCGTTTGGTGGTAAAAGATACTTTATATTTTTGCGAGTGTAAATCAATTAAAAACGAATCATTCGATTTTCAAAAAAAAAGCTTTATTTTTATTATTTATACCTGAGCACCACGTGCAGTATTCTGGGCTGCCCCACCAGCCACGTATGTGGGCTTATAATTTTTAACAATTTCTACATATCTTGATTAAAAATTTGTATATAGAATTGCTGCTGCTTTTAAACGAATGTTTTTTTTTACATTCCCCAAAGAAAAAAATACATACAATGGCATATGTTTTTCTTCGGCCAGAATAGAGTCGTTTGGTTTGAGCCCATATCTATAAAATTATTGTCTTTGAATTGATTTTTCTTCGACTCTCCCCCCCCCCTTTTATTCATACTTCTCAAGTAAGTTCTCATCTGCTTTCACTTGGATATCTAATAGTGGGTTTCCCATTACGAATAAAATGTATTTTTTGACCATTTTGTTGTGTGCTTTTAGTAAGAATTAAAAAGAATTTTTTGAGGGAGCAATAATAAAATCTTTGGATCTGGATATTTGTAAAATGGAATGACTTATTGCATATGAAAATGTCAATATGTCAATATGTCTGTTTTCCCTGTTTGTTATTGGACGGGGTTTGGTTCAGTCATTGGAATTATTATTGTTGACGTTATCGTTATTATCTCAGTTAAAATTTTATTTTATCCACATTTACTTTAAGAATCGAGTAAATATGGATATATCAATGTCTATAATTAATTTTCTCTCTCTCTCTCTCTCTCTTTATCTCTCTCTATGTGAAACAACCATCACTTTTTATGATGATAATAAAATTTAATTTAATTTGATGACCTCTTAAAAAATAAAAAAAGTAATATTTACAATTCGAAAAAGTTAATCCTATATATTTATAATTTATTTAATTTATGAAGGATATGATATGGAAGATGATTGATGTCATGCAGATTCCATTCGTCGAGGTGCTGTCGTAAACATACGACGATGATCATAGTGAATATTTTGAGTGATTGGTAATGGAGCGATAAAAGAACCCTCTTGTTTTCCAATGTCTGCCATAGTTTGAAGTATGGGATCGCTAAGAAGTTGTTCCATAAAAGAAGTGTCACGTCGATGACGACGAGGTGTAGGCGTAATTGTGGTGGTGGTGGTGGTTGGTGGATAAGTGTTACTACGTGGCATATTGTCTTGTTGGTTTTGTGCTTGCGAGGAATTAACAGGTTTGATGATGATGTTGGTGTTATTGGAATTGTTGAGGTTCGAGTTTTTTACTGCGGGTGTTGTAGACATGATGCCGATGACGTGAACGCAGTAGTCGCGTGTTTGTATTTGGCGCAGTAATCGGTTTTCTTGTACGAGAATACGAGAATGTTCTTTTGGCTAAAACAATTAGAGGGGCGGTTGTAGTTGTAACTGTAGCTGTTACTGTAGCTGTAGCTGTTTCTGTTGCTGTTGCTGTTGCTGTTGCTGTCGCTGTCGCTGTTGTAGTTTAATTAGTTTCCCGTCCGGTTGCTTTTAGCCAGAAAAATAGTATAAACAAAAGTGAATGCTAGTATTCAATGTATTCAGTCGCTTAATTCAAAAGACACCTTATATTATTTATTAGTCAATATTGCGTGACAAGGATACTTTGATGTATATAACTAACGCTAAAATTATTTAATTTTTTCGACAGAAGAAAAAAGCAGCGGTTATTGTAGTATTTATCAGGCAAATGAAATTTTTCTTCTAACAGTTATTATACGCAAGAAGAAAAGGATGGCTAGTTGGCTAGTTGGTTGGTTGTTTTTTTAGTCGAGGTGAGGTGGTGGTGGTGGTGTTTAGTTTTGAGAAATTTAGCGCGTAATAAACAAAAAAGGTGTGAGAATAAAGTTTACCGTTACTTACAAGTTTCGCTTATACGACTATCACCCACATTTATATCATAATCGACCAAAAATCATCTGAGTAGAAAGTAAAAAAAGTCGCAATATTTTTGTGTAAAGAGAAAAGGTCCTCTTCGCATGCATAACTCTACATATACGCATTAATAAATAACATATTACACTCTTTTCCGTTCATCGCCGCTGTTACATCACGATTTCCTGGGAATTAATTCGACTCTTTTTTTATTTATTCAATGACCATTAATATAAAAATGACCATTAATATAAAAAATAAGCTGTATATTTCTTGCCTTTTATCAGACGACAGTTCCCTGACACAAATTACTAATAATAAAGCATTGCCATAATATGCAATGCGGGGTATCTGTGTTGTACACCTTGTACTTGTTTGTGGGAAGCATGATTTGCATCTTTCTTCATCAAAGAAAATTATGATCTATACTGTGTTTTGTTGTCTTCATAGACACAAATATTGGTTTTTCATAAATGCTCCTACTACGACTGTTGCTGCTATGTTGCTTCCTTGTGACTTGTGTGACTATAAAGTATAATAAGCAATAAGCCAAGTAAAAAAAAAACTTGATTAGTCTGTAGTTATGTGTGTGTGAATTTAATTACATGGGATTATGACGAGAAATTTTCTTCTTACGCTCATTTAGTCATCATTTGCATAACGAATTAATAAATCTTTTGCGTGATCATTTATTATTATTAAGTACGCAAATTATAACCTACAGTTCTTCTCTTTTTGATTAATGGTGTATGCGTGCATGATTAATTTATTAATATTAATAATAGAAATGTATATTTGACAAGTTTGTTATTATGTGCAGGTAGAATAGTAATGATGTGCAGGTAGAATAGTAATGATGTGCAGATATAATAGAATATTTGCGTTAGTCTACTTTCCGTTCCCCAATAAAATTCGGTGATCTAAATCTTAGATTTCTCCATCACCCTGTATAGTCACATTCTCTCTACGAACAATTAGAACCTCCATACAGTCACAACATATATAAAGTTACACTTTTTTCCGCGTGATTATATCGAACATACCACGCGAAACCCAAATCGACAATTGCCAAGCTTTCATTATACCAAATTCATACTGGACATAGTCTAATACTGCGCCCTTGGATTGAGTAAGTCCAGTTCAAAATGGACACTGATCGAAACCTATTACATATATCGATTTAGCATAAATAAGAATCAAATATGCAAAGAATAAATAAAATTATCCTTTCCAACTATTAATCCATATGAAATCCAATTAGCTCAACTGTATATTATAACGGAGATTAATAATGTATACTAGAAATTGATATTATATAGAAATCAAAAAAATTCAAAATTAATATTTTATTGAAAAATCTGATATAAGGTAGCCCGTTCTATTTCCGTGCATGTTTTGTAAAATATTTTATATAGTTAATATTTTTTTATAAAATTTTGCACATCAAATCTATAACAACTAGTGTATTTAATTATATAAAAATTTTTATTAACTATTTATATAAAAAAAGAAATAATAAAAGAAATAAAATTAGAATATATTATCATATTTTTATGCACCTACAGTGACAATCAGAAATAATGTAACGACGTCAAAATTTATTAATTAAACATGGTAAAATGCGGGTTTTTCTCTTTATATAAAAGTTTTCAATTTTACTAATAAATATTTTTTATTTTTACATTAAAATGAAGATAATATTACATATTTTAACATATATTTTTTCAAATTTTTTAGATTTAATCTGATAAAGTTGTTTTAATTGCACATAAAGTCAATTATTTTTTATAATTTAAAACATATAAAAAATAATTAATTTTATATGCAATTAGAATAGCTTTATCAGATTAAATCTAAAAAATTTGAAAAAAATATATGTTAAAACATGTGATATTATCTTCATTTTAATGTAAAAATTATTAGTAAAATTGAAAACTTTTATATAAAGAGAAAATTCTGTATTTTATTATGTTTAATTAATAAATTTTGATGTTATTGTATTATTTTTAATTGTCACTATATATATTTTGTAATTATATACTTAGATTTTTTTTATTTATATATTTTTTTAGATTTATTTCTCATTTTTTTATTTAATTTATTGCATAATTAATAATACCAATTTTGTGTTAATTCTTTGTAACCTAAATAATATTTTTATAAAATTTTGAGATATTAAGTACACAAAAATAGATTCTTAATTTTATTTATATTATGAATTACTATCGGAAAAATACAAATATACCTGAAATTATATTCTGAACTGAACATATTTAATTAATAATCTAAAGTAGGTTTTTATAATAAAATTATAAAATATTAAATACATAAAAATAGATGCATATATGAAAATAGAGAAAACTATCTTATCTAATCTAAAATATTTAAATATATATTTCTAGTTTAATTAACTAATCAAAAAATATAATTAGAAAAATAAGTTAATATAATATAGAATATTTAAACTTATTAATTGATTATATTTTATAAATTCAATAAATTTTTTAATTAATAATTTAATATATAAATATATTTAAAAGTTTATTTTATCATATTTATAAATTAAAAGTAAATAAAAAATTTGAAATATTTAGTTTATTTTTTATGAAAATAAATCAAAGTTTTAGATTTTTAATTATAATATTATAAATTAAAATAATATTATAAAACTCTAATTTATTTTTAATTATAATAACAAAAATAAGTTTTTTTTGCTAATTTTAAATTAAACTAATTTAATTTGTTTTAATATATAGTAACTAACAAAATTATGGAATTATATATATAATTTTATTAATAAAATATAATAAAATTGAAATTTGTTTTATATAAAAGTTTTCAATTTTATTAATAAATATTTTTTATTTTTATATCAAAATAAAGATTATAATTTAT